TTAGTATATCCGGTGTGGCGGTCATCGTCACGCGTTGGGGCGCGCCCCCGCGATCCGTAGATCGACCTTGACTGTCCTGCTTTGTTTTCCAATTCGTCTCGCGGGTCATGCGTGTAGCCCCAGGCCTTCGTGTTTTTATTTGTTCGGTGACGGGGTGCTGGCTGGTGTTCGGACTAATAAGCCGCTTTGTCTCGGCCACGAGGTGGTCGGTCAGCCGCGTCGTGCGCTGGTAGTATAGGCTCTGGTGCCTCGTCCTCGAATTGAGGTAACAACTTGCGCCTCGGGTAACTTTTGGTTGGGCGCTCGAGTCCGTATTCCTCAGCCGCCAGGACCTCAGTCCATCTATCAGTGAGCAGATCTTGATCAGCTTGAAGTTGCTGCTATTTTTTTTCAGGCTCTTTAAAGTGGCTATAAGCCGGCGCTTGAAGCGCTCCTACTCGACGGGATCCTCAGGCACGGTAAATTATTCATCACTGAGGCTCCCCTCGTCTTCGGAGAGGGGCATGTAGTTTTCATCCTCCGAGTATTCGTTCATGGACTGTCCATCGGGGCTAGCTTGCCCATCCTCCCGTTCGGCCTGTTCGAAGCTTGGCTAGGCGGGATTGTTTTCGCCTTCGGCATCATCCGGAGTGCTATTATCTCTTGTGCTGGTATCGCTGTTTCTGCCCTGGCGTGGTTTAGAGCAGCGCCGCTGACGTCGGTGCTTCGGCTGCTTCTCGAGAGGCTTACCCTCCGTTGCATCCTTTTGATCCTCGACATTGTTTTCTTTGGGTGTGTCCACCATGTATATGTCATATGATGATATGGCTGTCCAGCGCCCTATGGGCGGTGGTTCCTGTTCTTCTCCGGCATCGTCGTCCATACCGTCGATGTCTTCGGAGTCGAAATCAAGCATGTCGGTTAAGTCGTCGACAGTTGCAATTAAGTGGGTGGTGGGTGGGTAACGAATTCCTTCGTCGTCCGCTTCCCACTCAAGCCGGACATAGTTCGGCCAAGAGTCTCCTGCCAAGGAGAGAGATTTTAATGAGTTTAGCACGTCGCCCAAGGGCGAGTGCTGAAAGATATCTGCAGAGCTAAACTCCATGATCGGTGCCCAGTTAGATCCGATGGGCACGGATGCACGCGGTTCAGAGCCTATGGCCGAAAACGAGTCCGAGGGTCCGATGACACAGACCTCATTGGAAGTGAAATCTGTGTTCGGCTCTATCGTCGTTGAGTGTGCGGCTTCTGTGCGGGGTCCATCCTCCCGTCCATGGATGGCACGATCTGCACTGGATTTAAAACCATGGCAGCTGCAGGTGTGATCTCCTGAACACCGTCCGATGACAGATCTAGGTCATGCTCATCGCGACTGTAGGGTGTATCTGTCACGGGCTCGAATCCGTTGAAGATCAAATCTCCACAGATGTCGGCAGTGTAATTCAGGCTTCCAAACCTGACCTGATGGCCAGGGGCGTAGCTATCGATCTGCTCCAGATGGCCAAGCGAGTTGGCCCGCAGTGCGAAGCTGCCGAATACAAACATCTGTCCGGGGAGGAAAACCTCACCCTGGACCGCATCGTTGTAGATGATTGAAGGATCCGTCAAGCCATATGGTGACGACACAGTGGAACTCTCAATGAAAGCACGAATGTCGGTGTCAAAACCGGCGGATCTCGGGTAGGGGGTCCCGAACTGTGCGTCTAAGACTAATGGTAACAGGAGGCGGGGGACGCGATGTTTACCTAGGTTCTGGCCCTCTCTATGGAGGTAATACCCTACTTCCTACTTGATTGATCTTGATGATATGAGTATTACAAGAGTTGATCTACCACGAGATCGTAGAGGCTAAACCCTAGAAGCTAGCCTATGATTATGATTGTTGTTGTCCTACGGACTAAACCCTCCGGTTTATATAGACACTGGAGGGGGCTAGGGTTACACAAAGTCGGTTATAGAGAAGGGAATCTACATATCCGAATTGCCAAGCTTGCCTTCCACGCAAACGAGAGTCCCACCCGGACACGGGACCAAGTCTTCAATCTTGTATCTTCATAGTCCAACAGTCCGGCATAAGCATATAGTCTGGTTGTCCGAGGACCCCCTAATCCAGGACTCCCTCACCGTTGTCAACTAGGAACCTCTAGTACCGGTTTGTGGCACGAACCGGTACTAAAGGTGTTGGTGGCCCCCCGGCCTGACCACAGCCTGCAACAGCCACTTTAGTACCGGTTTGTGGCACGAACCAGTACTAAAGGATCGCCACAAACCGGTACTAATGATCTCCGCCCCCCTAGCCGTTTGGACCGGCACTAATGATCACATTAGTGCCGGTTTTGTTACAAACTGGGACTATTGTGCTTCACATTAGGCCCTTTTTCTACTAGTGTAGGCTATTTATTTTTCACATCGGGGTGGAAGTGGAGCAGGGCTATTTTAAGTGAACCCCATATTCAGAAATAACTATAGTGCTAGGTAGACAGAGAATTTTTGCCGAGCAAGTGGAGGTGGTCCAGGTGGATGACAATGCTCATGCAGAAGATGGAGGGCCTATTCAGGTCCATCAAGATATCGTGACCGAGTTTTGGTAAGAACGGACAGTACGTGGCATACACAACCTTTAATTATTATACACGACAATGCTCTATTTTGGTTATCTGATGATGGGTACTTGTGCTCAGCAAGAGAGGACGAAGATGGTCTACACCTGATAGAGTGGGAGGCTGCCATTGGAACTAGCTTTTCACTGTTAGAAGACCTTGGTAGTCTATATATTGTGACAAGTGGCGACATTTTACAAAATTTAGCTAGAAGATCTACAACTCCATTCCAGTGCTTTATAGGAGGGCCATCGCATTCTTCATCAACATCGGTCTTCGCAGCTCGCATGATGAGGTGTGAGTAGTCCACCCCATGGACTGTGAATTCCTACCAGTAGACATGTAGCATCTTCTCTCCCACGCTTCAATACAATGATATCATGAGTGTCCTCAAATCATTGTGACATATCTGATGTAATTCTTGCAGTATCTTGTTGCTATGTACTTAATGACTAATTACTTTATGATCTTCATTAGGATATTCATTGGCAGTACACGTGAAAAATCAGTAGATAATTGTGCGCACTAGATAGATTGGATCCCTGTTTGTGAATACTTTCGGTGATAGTAAGAAAGAAAAAGTTTAGACGGATCTACCTCACTAAGGACAAAAAGATTATATAATAGTGTTGCATATATGTACGTAACACTATGCTAGCATGATGAGTTGGATTAACAATGGTAATTAGTGGATTAATCACCACATGCTACCTCATTGATTGAGTATTTGTGTTATTTTCCTAAGAAACAAATGACTGTCATAGGAAAAAATCCTAAGGATCCAAATCCTCAAAAAATCCTATGAAATTCCTTTGTATGGAGCCCTGAAGGTGGTAACATAGACTAGTGCCATATGCATGAGACTAGTCTGAGTTACTCCTCACACTGACTAGCCTGAAATGTCCCACGTGAAAATTACTTGGGACAGTAATTGCTTTGCATGCATGTAATTAAATAGCACTTATAGCCAATAGTTTTTGGCTTAATTTGGCAGGTAGAAACCTGCATGAAATTTTGTGTTACATTTTGAACTATTGCAACAGTCTATCGAGGGCCTTGTTGACCGGAGAAGTTGCAACCAAACAATGTGTCCTTTGTAACACATCGTGCACTATAAATAGGCATACACGTTGGACACTTTGGATTCTATTTAAGATAGCTTCCCATATATGCCATGTGGTGAACATCATAGGACACTATAATTAGAGCCAATGCATTAGCATATGTGAGGAGGGGAAACGCTGCATGAAGAGAGCATGAGCACATCTATACATGAGAGTTAGCGTATCCATGGTGCACATGATATTATTGTTCTCCAATCATAGGAGAAACACTAAATAAGAGGGAAGAGAGAAGAGAATACTTTACTACGACGATTGTAGGTCCGCGATTTCCAGATTCCACATGGATAACAGAGGCAACAAGGTATGTAAACCAAAGAGGTCAAATGATTGAATCCATTCGGTGCCTAAAAAATCTTGGGTAAATGTTTCCGCATCATAGTTTTTTCTTTCTTACAACTGGTAGTAGAGCCTGGCATTAGCACTTTTGATTCACCACAAAAGTTGTGTTTCTTTTATCTCCTTTTTCCTCAAAATTTCTGTTCTTGCTGTAGATTAGCTTGAGACAAAAGTTTCTTATTCAGCTATTGGAGAAACATCAGACTAATTGAAAACTAGCTAGTGCAAGGAAGTTGCATTATGTGTGTAGTCTTGTGTAACATGTTCATGAAAGGGACCTACATACTTTACCATGCGTTAAACTTATGAACATGAGATTTGTAGCATCAATGACGGTGTTCAGGAACTTATCAAATTGTACATGGTTGCACTATTATGCATCTTGTGTCATCTTGGGATTTATTGTGTTGAAGGTATAGATAGATTTGTTGTTCTCAATAAGTACACATGGAAAATAGTATGGTATGTTATGTACATTTTTTTTGTATTGGATTCTTGAATTCCAATAAGTATGTTTTTTTTTTGTTTACTTGAGACTCGGTGCAACACAATAACCAAGTGCCATAAGCGGGTCCGGGCCGAATTGGCAGCACAATTTAGATTAGCTACTATTCATTGAGAGATTATTCTTTTTTGTTCTCAAGATATGTTTCGAAGTTTGAATTAAAATTTTGCAACATGGTTGATATATGTTGTGTCTAAGTGCTGATTTACATTTAGAATTTTTTTTTTTGACGTTCAGGCGGGTGGACTAAGATCGGATACACCAGGCACGCCACAAGCGCTCGTGGACCGGAGAAACCTTCCCGTGTGCGGTGTGGGGGAGACAAACAGTGGCGAGTCATGTGAGATGGAGGGAAAAGATACAATGTACAGATTGTAAATGTAAAACTGAAGCTAGCACGACTCTCCAAGCCAACGATCCAGATAAGCCCGTGAAATCCATGTGCTTTGGGTCAATATGTCATTGGTGCTATGTGTAACTAGGTACTGGACAACCAGCCACTATATATGTGGGCAGAGAGTAGTGATCATCCTCTTACCAGCTTCATTGACCTTCCTCTTACCATCCGACAAAAAATATAGTTGGATGAAGGGTTGCTCTCCAGCAGCCGATGAGGAAAGGGCGGCGATGGTGCCTCTGCCTTCTCCAGCTGGGGATGAGATCGTCGACAAAGATCTGGCGGCGATGCACACCAAGCCGTGCTGGACGGCGACGGCAAGGGGCGGGGTTGGAGTGGCCATGGCCATCTTTGTGCTTCTTGCTTTGCTATTGCAGACCAAATGGATCAACCTCGACGCAGCTGTAAGTATACCTACGCTAATCGAAGAAGTTCAATTAGTTCAGGTTTCCCCTAAAACTAAAATTTGTAAGTCAATTCGTGCCGTTTCCTGCTTGCGAATGCTTGCACAAGTGCACAACGAGCGATGACCTGTTCTAAGTACTTCTAATCATGCATGAACTCAATTAATATAAGTCATCCACTAGTGATTATTGGGAATGATACCAACAAAGTATATATAGGTACTAGGTCTTGGAAGAAATTACAAAGGAACTAGCAATCTTAGAAAAATTATAGTAGTACATTGCAAACATATATACTCCTATACCAGTAGTTATTCCTAAAGTACTCCCTCCGTCCGGAAATACTTGTCGCAGAAATGCATAAAAATGGATGTATCTAGAACTAATATACGTCTAGATACATCCATTCCTCCGACAAGTATTTCCGGACGGAGGGAGTACGTGTGCTAGTAGCTCGCTAGATATTATCCCTAGCCAATCTGTAGTATTCAAATCATCCTTGCGTAGATCTCTAGTTAGTATGACTCCACTGAATGCAAACCCTAAGCGCATGTACAATGGTGCTATCTTAGAAGTGCCACATAGGATAAATGTTGAGGCGGAGAGAGAAATCGTAAAAAATTGTTTGTCGCCTCTTATTTAAGAGATGATCTCTTAGCATAATATGTCTCACCAGGTTTTTAGAAATTGCTAGTTATTAAAGATAAGATTAAGAGATAATTCATTGTAGACATCTTTTATTGTCATCTTTAAATTACATGCAAGGATTAGGATAACATTGTTTTATCAACCACTGTACATGCCCTAACGGCCGTGTTAAGCAAGCACATGGGCCTTAATTGTGGCATAATCAAGTCACATACGTGTTACTAGGGCTAATCACAGTCAACAGTCTTCGTCACAAACTTGAGACATGTACAATATCATTCTCATGACCAAGATCTTCTATCCATGTTTACCGTACTGCTACACATTCACAAAACACTAGAGTTAATCACAGTCAAGGAATGAGGAAGGAGGAGGAAAAGATGAAAGAAAGAACGGCGGGAGGTGAAAGAGTGAGATCTCAAAGTAAGACAACGGTGAAATACAGATATATGCAGGGTGATGGCAGCGGAGACGAAGGGGGCAATGGACGAGAGGAGGGTGCAGTGAGGCGTTTGTGGGTGCTAGAAAGACAAGAGTAATAAAAAGCAAGCAGTAAAGAAAATCATGACCTGGTTATCTCGTAATTTGATTGGTGTATATATCTAGTCAAACAAGACAGTTTCTCGCCAAAACTAAGAAATTCACACTAGGTTGATGGACAAGAAATATATCCCTATAGTAGGGATTGAGTGATTGACTTTGGGCTAGGCGACTACGATATGTGCAATATTAAAGGTAAAACATGACAATTACACATACTCAAATTGCATATTTCTAATAATAGAACTAAATGTATAATATTTCCAATATTTAAAGTCCTTGCCGTCGAGTGATGAAAGGGAACACAGTTCAATAAAACAACTAATCGGGTTGAGATGAACAAGTCTAACTTGGAGTTGCAGTTACTTTTTTGTGCAACGAAATCTGATTTGCAGTTGCACTTACAATTTTTTGTGCAACTACAATCTTTTTGACTATGCAACAGCTCTAATTACACACTCACAAAGAAAATAAACAGCTCTAATTACCCTTTTCTTCTACTACTAGATTTTGTGTTGCATATATAATAGTGCACCTATGGTTTTCAGATGTGCAACCCATCCAAAAAAACAAGGACTAAAAGAATTTTGTTTATGAATTTATTTATGGCTATCTTTTCTATATAAAAAAGAACAATCATACATCAACCTTGACTTTGGGATAGAGAAGGAAATTCTCCTAATGCTTACTAGCTTACCCCCGCGCGGCGGCACGCCGCGCCCGTCGATACGGTGCGGTTATATGAATTGTGTTTCTTCTTTGTAATAAGTGTTGTTATTTTAGGATGTCAGATGATCGCATGAAAAACTATGGATGTAGGAAAAAAGAAGATGGGAGGATGATGCATGTGAACAAACAGGGGAAACACGATGACACATCTCTAGTAAGGATGATTTATTTTGCCGAACATGGTGCGAGTCATTGCCAGAATAGATCATCTGGTGTAGCCTCCCATTGGATTAGCTCCTATGATGAAGTAGTAAAGAGATGCAAATAGTCGGAATTATATATACACCGTATGTAGTTAATAATTTTTTCCTTCGTTCATACATTTTTTTACTATCACCGAGAAGTGATCGAGCCAAGCAGGTGGCCACTCTCGTGCACCATCACCGACTACTCCAGGGAAGCGATAGCGTCCAACAACGCCAGGGACACGTAGCCGGCGGTCACCCCATGCCTTTGAGGCGCCCAAGTGGAACCAGCTCGCCGGCGTGCCCGTCGGCCATCGGACACCTCGCTGTCCCGTGGTGGACGTCGACAACCTCCACATGGTAGTGACAATAATGCAGTTTCTCGCTCGGCGGAGTAGCAGCGACGGAGGCTCGACGCAGCTCCTCCCCGGCAAGCCCAGAGGTGCAGCGTGGGGAGAGCCCGCGGGAAGCCACTCTCAACCTTGGAGCGCGGCTCCACAACTCGCGATGGCCGAGCTTGCTCCGTACTGCACGTCAAAGAAAGGAGGAGCCTAGGAGGGAGGGGCATGCTCGGCGAGGCGGTAAACAAAGCTCCTTTCCATCCCATACGAGAGAAGCGGAGAGAGGCTCGATGTTTTGTGCCGACGCTATTTCTCGGTGGTGCTTCGGTTGAGATGCGAAAGTGAGTGATGACCACATATAAGAGGAATGAGATATTTATAAATGGTTATGGTGATGGACGGTTCAACTGGAATTTCCGAAAAACACCTCAATCATCAGGGGCGTAAGCCGCAGAGGCATCCAGAAGAAAAGAGATATGGAAGGAGAAGTAAGCAGTGAGGCAGATAAGAAAGCAATGAAAGCGGTGGATTGGACGGGATGCATGCAGCGCACATGCGAGGGAGACAGATGGAATGTCCCGTATCTAGCCTAGAATCGCGCCCGAGCGGTGCGGTGGCTGTCTTGGCCATATCCCTCTGTCGTCTTGTAACTGGATGTAGTTGCCTGTCCCACTGCATGTGCATGTGCCTTGTAACTGGACGTATTTGCCCATCCTCCAATCACTGCTTCGTCAGACTGCTATTGGTCGGCCGCATATCCAAGCAATGTGTTTCGATTGGTCTGCATGAATGCCGTGACTGATTTGCCCATGTTTCTTTGATTTGCTTGTTTCTTGTCTATTCCCGACAATGAAAACAAAACTGGAAACCAACACACTGCATGGCCTACTTAATTACAACATAAACGGTTAGAAGCACACGGCAGTGAAGCAAGCACGTTCAAAAATTTTAGCCGATGCATATACACCCACACATGCATTTGTACACAGCCACGTCCCAAAAAAATGCACACGTCAACAACCCAAAAGCCCATAGGTTGCTTTCAAGATCAAAGAATCATCTGAACATGCTAAAGACACCCCAAGTGCACATGGGAAAATGCGACTCAGTTAACAAAATTTCCATCAAAGGCCTACTGCCACCGCGTGATTCTACACGGTAATCTACCAAAATAATGTACGTGTCGCCATCCAGCTGATCAAAAGTCACTTTCACACAAGTGGGTAAACCTGAAAGCAAAAACTTTTCGAGATATAGTGGTTTTGGTATAAATGTCCAACTAGCTAAAGGAAATGGTCAAAGCAAACATATTCAAATTTGATTCGTGGGACGCAAAGAAATCTACTTGAATTTAATAATAGCAAGGTTAAAAATAATATAAAATAAAATATGATTGGTGTTTTATTTTTGAAATAAGATTTATTGGTATACGAGAAGTAACTCGACTGGACATTCGTTTACATCACTAGCCCCAAAAAAGCGGTGCGGATTTTGGGATATAGTCTAGGTGCACCTTATATAGATTTCTGTTTAAAAATTCAAATTACTTTAAAACTTGTTTGTGGTGAATATGGTCGAGTGTTCTACTTACATATGAAGTTTCGCGAAGAAATGACCTAGATATTCTTCATCGCGCAAAAAAATATATTGCAACTTAAAAAAATCTGAATAGTAACTTTTATATAGAAACTGATTTTATTTTTCTCGGCACATAAGACCATGTAAGTCATTTCTTCGCGAAACTTACACGTGAGTATAAGACTAGATCATATTTCCAACAAAAAAGGCTTCATGTAAATAGTACTTCCTCCGTCCAAAAATACTTGTCGGAAAATTGAAGAGAAATGGATGTAACTAGACGTATTTTAGTTCTAGATATATTCATTTTTATCCATTTCTCCGACAAATATTTCCGGACCGAGGAAGTATATACGTGTAAAAGACATATTTTAATGATTGTGTCAAATTAAAATATCAGTACTGACTACTCCCTCCGTTCCAAAATATAGCGCGTCCTCGGTTTCCGTGCTTCAACTTTGACCATTAATTTAATCAACAAGACCGACTGCGGCGGGCGAAAAAATTATACCAATAAATTCGTATTCAAAAAAAGTTTTTAATTATATAATTTTTGATCCCGCCGCAGTCGGTCTCGTGGGTTAAATTTATGGTCAAAGTTGAACCTCAAAAAGCGTGGGCGCGCTATATTTTGGAACGGAGGGAGTAGCTTTTATGTACATCGATCGACGCATTCATGATCACAATCCAACAGTACTACACGTTCTCGCCGGCGGGCACTGGGTTCAGTCAGCATGGACGCGGCCACTCATACACGGCGCCCCTGATACCCATACCATTGAGCTGCAGCAACGACACCGACACGTCGTCATCGACAACAGCGCCACCGCCAGCACCGTCCTCATCATCTAACAAACGGCGGTACTATCCCGGAGTACCGCCGCCTTTGTGCCCGGACTACTTCCGCCACATCCACACGGACATGGAGCCGTGGCGCGCGACGGGGATCGCGCGGGACGCGGTGGAGCGCGCCCAGCCCCACGCCCAGTTCCGGCTGGTGGTTCTGTCCGGCCGCGCCTACGTGGAGAAGTACCGCGACTCGTTCCAGACCCGGGACGTCTTCACGCAGTGGGGCATCCTGCAGCTGCTGGCCCGCTACCCGGGCCGCGTCCCGGACGTGGACATCATGTTCAGCACCCTCGACTCGCCCAGGGTGCTCGCCGCCGACTACCCGTCGCGGTCCGCCGCGCCGCCGCTCTTCCGGTACTGCAAGGAGGAGTCGCGGGAGCTGGCCATCCTCTTCCCCGACTGGTCCTTCTGGGGCTGGCCGGAGGTGAACGTCCGCCCGTGGGCGCCGCTCATGGAGGAGCTCGTCCGGGAGAACGCGCGCCTCCCGTGGCCGGAGAGGGAGCCCTACGCGTTCTGGAAGGGCAACCCCGACGTGTCGGAGGTGCGCCAGGACCTGTTCCGGTGCAACAACGACACCGCCGCCGGCAAGGAGTGGAACGCGCGGCTGTTCAAGCAGGACTGGGACGCCGCCGGCCGGAACGGGTTCCGGGACTCGGACCTGACCAAGCAGTGCCGGTACAGGTACAAGATCTACGTGCAGGGGCACACGTGGTCGGTCAGCGAGAAGTACATCCTCGCGTGCGACTCGCCGATGCTCGCCATCGACACGCCCTTCAGGGACTTCTTCTCGCGGGGGCTCGTCGCCGGCAAGCACTACTGGCTCATCGACCCGGCCAACAAGTGCCGCGCCGTCAAGTTCGCCGTCGACTGGGGCAACGCCCACCCGGCGCAGGCGCGGCGCATGGGCGAGGAGGGCAGTGGGTTCACGAGGGAGGAGATGGGCATGGACTACGTGTACGAGTACATGCTCAATGTGTTGAGGCAGTACAGTGCCCTGCTCCGGTACACGCCCACCGTGCCGGAGAGGGCTGTGGAGGTCAGCCTCGTGTCCATGGCCTGCCCCAGGCGCGGGCGCGAGAGGGAGTTCATGATGGAGTCCAGGGAGAAGTGCGTGGCCGTGGACGAGCCATGCACGCTGCCGCCGCCATTCACGGTCGATCAAGTCAGGGAAATGGCCGTGAGGGACGAGCAGGTGCGAAGCAAACTACTACAGATGGTGCGACATTAGCTAGGCGGCTTGTATGAAGCAGGTATTTTTTTTTAATTGTGGTCGTGACGCATGTGATAATAAGCAATCCAAATAACTCAAAAAATAAATATTGAAGCAGGTGTTATTTTATTTTATTTTTAGGGTAAAGCAGGTGTTATTTAGTTTACTTGACTTAGCTTGAATCGTCCATAAATTATAGTACAGTGATAGGCGCCCGCCGGTCGGTTGCCTACCGTTATATCTCGCGCATGAATGGCTTTGATTAGCCCGTGGATTAGGTAATCGCCTTCCTCCTCCCACACGCGTGGTTGGGAAAACAAATGGAGGAGCTACCGCGCTTGGCGGCCACCCCGGGTCGCCCATACTAGTCGTCTCCCGTCGCAAAACCGCCGCCAAATTTTGGCCATCTCCTCGGTCCTCCCGCGGCGATCCCGGCCACCTCTTAGTTCCTTCTAAAGATGAAAGGGGGTAGAAACCCCCCGGTCCCATTTTTATAAATGAAACCAGGAACAGCGTCGGAAGAACAAATGTTTCCCCAGGGGAGGGAGCATGAAAACAGTATGCCCTGAGGCCAAAAATAAAAAAGGACAGTCTAAAGCAACCGCAAAACGACTTTTGTTACAGTGAGGGGAGTGCCATTCCACCACTGTAGCAGCAGCTACTCGACTAAGCTTTGATCCTGCAGGTCATCATGCCATCAGCACGGCCTTCAACTGTCTTGTTGTCCTCCAGTATCTCCACTGCGCCTCTGAGCTTCTTCCATGGCTGCATCGGTGATCCCAGCAGGTCAAGCGGAGTGACTGGGCTGAGCAGGCAGTGCTTGGCACCACCAGAAGGGCTTCTCGGAGGTGAAGTGAATGGGTGTGGTTCGCCTGGCGTGACGTAGTCATCTAGGTTCAGCTTGGACAGGAGAACCTGATCATCTTCTTCAGTGGAGGTCATCCCCAGCGAAGTCACCTTGCCATGATTTGGAATGGGGTTTCCAAAATCGCCGAAATCTGGCTTGATATCTTCTCCCACTGCGGGATTGCTTCCTCCTTGAGCAAGATCGTCCATCTCCTCATTGTTCCCAGCACTTTTCTCCAAATATGTTTCAAATCAATCCACACAGCATTATTAAAAACATGGGCATTTCTGTTCTTCCACAAAGTCCAAAGAATGCATGCACATATAGAGTTTGGCACTGTGTGTTTCTTGCTGGCAGGCCAAAACCTGGCAACAGAGAGATAATCTGAACCCAGGTCAATGGAGAGCAGAGTTGAGACCTGGTGCCAGATTTGCTTGGCCACCACACACCCAAAGAAAAGGTGATCAATGGTTTCTTTGTCTGTACGGTAGACACAATCAGGAGGTTTTTCAATGCCTCTTTTAGCTAAATTATCTTTAGTCATGAGTTTATTGTGAGAGAGCAACCAGAGGAAGACCTGCACCCTAGGTGGGATTTTAATAGACCAAACTGCAGGAATATAAACTGGTTGCATCCCACTAAAGTTAATGATGCTATATAGAGATCCAGTGGTGTATTCACCCTTATTTTCATATTGCCAGACCAGGGAGTCATCACATTCCTGGAAACAAGTGTTTTCAATGATCTTCTCTAGGCAGTACCATTGCTCCATCATATGTGTAGTGAAAACCCTTCTAAAGGTCAGCTTAATTTCCACATTGTCCCATACTTCAGCCAGTGTGACACAATGCTGGTGACAAATGGAGTAAAGTGGCCAGAATTGGTCAGAAAGAGGGGAGGTCCCAAACCAAATGTCCTCCCAGAATCTAATTTTTTACCATCCCCTACTACCCATCTGTATCCAAACTTTAATGCTTTTGCTGCCCACATTACACGTTGCCAGAACCTAGAGGGATTATGTGGGCTGCAAGCAAAGATATTAGGAGTATCATTCAAATATTTCCTATCTATAAGGTCTCTCCATAGCTTCCCTTCATCTTTGATGTATCTCTTCACCCAGCTTCCCAGCAGGCAAAGGTTCACATCTCTAATATTAGGCACCCCCAGGCCTCCATGATGCTTACTCATGCAGACTAGGTGCCAGTTAGCAAGGTGAATTTTCCTATTCCCTTCAAAATCATTCCACAGACAATTGGCCATCTGGCTATTAATCATGTCCAGTGCCCATTTGGGGAATTTGAAGAAAGAAAGGAGATAGATGGGTATACTAGCTAGGCAGGTTTTAATAAGAATTAATCTGGCTGAGTAGGATAGAAGTTTGCCTCTCCATCCAGCTATTCTTTTGAGTATCTTATCTATTGGAGGTTGTAGATCCTCTCTCCTAAGCTTGTCATAGTGTAAATGAATCCCAAGGTATTTTATGGGGAAGCCCCCAACTTTGCAACCTATAATGTCAGCAAAGATTTTTGTCTCCTCGGGGTGACATGTCTATGGGGATAATCTCACTCTTAGCATAATTGATTTTCATTCCTGATACTTTTTCAAAATAGGTCAAGATAATTTTCAAATTAGAAGCTTTGTGTTCATCTCTATCCATGAAGAAGATGGTGTCATCTGCATATTGAAGGCAGATGACCCCATCAGGTATAAGATTAGAGCACAAGCCACTAATCATATCTTGAGAAGCTGCTTTGAAAAGCATTCTACTAAGAACATCTACTACTAAATTGAAAAGCAGAGGGGATAGTGGGTCTCCTTGCCTCAGGCCCTTCCATGTGATAAAGGAATGTCCCTCTATGCCATTTATTTTCACACCTACTGATCCCATATGAGTAATCTGTTTAATCCAAGAGATCCATAAAGGACCAAAATTTCTCTTCTCTAGAATTTCTAGTAGGAATCTAAGTTTACTTTATCAAAGGCTTTCTCATAGTCTAGTTTTAGGACTAGGCCTGGATTGCCTTATTTGTAAGTGGAATGCAGCACCTCATGTGCAGTAACTACACTTTCAAGGATATACCTGCCTTTGATAAAGGCAGTTTGGTTGCTAGAGGTGAGAGTATTCATCAATAATGCCAATCTATTTGTGTGGACTTTAGTAAACACTTTAAAAATACAGTTTAAGAGACTGGTAGGCCTAAATTTTTTCATGCTAGTAGCCTCTTTCTCTTTAGGTATAAGAGTCAGCATTGCAAAATTTAGCCTGTAAATGTCAAGCTTTCCTTTGTGAAAATCATCAAACATTGCCATAATATCATGTTTAATGGTTTCCCAGAAGTTCTGGAGGAAGAGGAAAGATAGTCCATCTTGACCAGGGGCTCCATCAGAGTAAGATCCAAAAATGGCTTCTCTCACCTCTTCCTTAGAAAAAGGTTTTTGGAGAGCTTTATTATCTAGATCTTTCACTCTCTCTTCTAATGAGAAGAAGTCATTGCTAATGTTAAAGCCATCTCTACTCTCTTTCTTAAAGAGCTCCTTATAGTAGTTGGTGGCAATTTCTAACATCTCATTGATATCATTGGTGGTACCATTTGGCCCCTCCAAAGTATTAATCATAGTTTTTCTTCTCCTCTGATTGGCTATAGCCTGGAAATATTTAGTGTTTCTATCTCCTTCTAAAATATATCTACCCCTAGCTCACTGTCTAGCTTTCACTTCTTCCACAATCCATAGGTTGTGTAATTCAGAGAGCAGAGTTTTCATCCTAAGTCTATCTAATTCAGAAAGGGGAGTGGTTTCTGACTTAAGATCCAGAGTGTTATACTCCTCTATCAGTTTGATTTTGAGTTTTTTTTATCTCAGAATCAACATTTCTACTCCAACCTTTACTGAACTTCCTAAATCTCCTAACCTTTTCTTGCCATATGTCTATAGGTATGGTGCTTAAGGTGGGAGCAGACCAGTTTTTGTTTGCTAGTTCTTTGAACTCAGCTCTCAGCATCCACCATTTTTCAAACTTATAACTAGTGCTCTTGGGTGTGCTCCCAATACCAGAGTCCCACAGGAGTGGAGTGTGGTCACTTCCAGTCCTAGGGAGGGCCTGGGAGCTATTCAAAGGAAAAAGGGCATCTAATTCAGTAGTGCAAAAGATCCTATCTATGGTAGACATGACAAGATTCTCCTGGTTGTTAGCCCAGGTGAACTGCCTACCAGACATTTTGATTTCTAGTAGGCTCCATATTTCTATCCAGGCATTAAACTTATCACTCCGTTTGTGATTGATTTTGCTTGTGTTTTTGTCTTGCTGGTACCTAACCAAGTTGTAGTCACCTCCAATAATTATTGGTTGATGATCTTCAATAAATAAGCTGTGAAGCTCGGATATGAAATCATCTTTACCATCATCATAAGGAGATCCATATACTGCTATAAATCTAAAAGTCTTGCCACTGTTCTTGTGGGTTAGGTTGCAAGAAACAGAGAAAAGGAGGGAGCTCCAACTATTGATGTCAAAGATATCAAAGTCAACCCCCACCAACACACCCCCTGAGGTGCCTACAGTAGGCAGGTAGTGCCAGATATAACTAATATTACCACTAATGGATTTCAAGAAAGAAGTAGAGAGACTCTCCTTCTTAGTTTCTTGAAAAGCTACAATACTGGGTTTGTGTTTGGCTAGGGTCTCAATAATGCAAGTTCTTTTGTCAGGGTTTGTAATCCCTCTAATATTCCAAAAAATGGCATTCATTGAAAGAGTTTTTTCCAGGGTGCTTGCCCTGTCCATAGTTGGAAATCTTCTCCCACAGAACACTTTGGTTCAGATGTGTGTGTGGGATCACACATCCAATTCCTTTAGGAGTTAAGGGGGAGACATTGGAAGCTATCAGTTCTTCCTGACTAGGCAGCCCTTCAGGCTTGCTAGCAGGTTTTTCACCTAATCTAGGGTATTCAACTAAACTATCAATTTTTGGTGGCCCTTCAGGCCTCACATCATTTCTATTAGCTACAACAGGTGTCAAAGTTATACTTCTATCTTGCTTGGTGTTTTCAATTTTCTGTCCTTCAGACATTTGAAAAGCACTGTCAAGCATATTAGTTGTCTGGTCTTCCTGACCAGAATCTATTTCTATCCCTATCTTACTAGCTACTGCAATGAATTTAGGATCAGAAA